ACAATGGCAAAATGTAAAAAACCCATGTCCTGCAGTTTTATTTTCTTTTCAAGAATATAACTATTTGCCTTTCCATAAACTACTGCAGTGTTGGATTTCTTTCGACAGTCATTACATGCATGATTTCCAAACAGAACTGTATCATGTAAACAAGCTTACCTTGCCAGACATACACCCTGCAGCCTCCATATTATAGAAAATAAATAGAAAACCAACAGATTTCATTATCATGTTCGTTTTACAAAGCACAGAATAAAAAAAGACATTCAACATATTTCATATATTCTGCTTTTCCTTCACTGATGAGCCTTTGGATTCATAGTGTACATGAATCAACTCCTGTCACGAGATTGGACTGGTATAAACAGCAGAAGTTCAGTAGCCAGTTTCCAAAATGATCAGATGTCCGTGACTTGGGGGTACCAAGGTCTGCTAGAGGCATTGGGAGCATGGCAAGAAGTGGAAGCAGCAGCAGGTATCCAATTTGAAACCTCTACTACACATCTGACAGCTGGAGGGCTCTACATCCTCCAGCACTGCTTCACAGCTTTGAAACCAGTCCAACATTAAGATAATTATAATCTGAGCTCCTTCAGTAGGCTCAACCCATGTTTCAGTAAACAAATATTCACATTAACACCATTCAACCCCCCTGCACAGGAGAGGAATCGGCCATCTCTAAATGCTGAAGGATCAACAAAGCACAGCAATTAGTGATGTGCTGTACACTTTGCATCCCCCTGAAATAGCAGCAGAGTGGCTGGCAATATGTGTGTCCGTAACACGATTATCTGAGGAAGGGAAGCCACTGTTTCCAGAGTCCTGCATAGGCAGAGTGAAAACTGAGTATTAAAATAAGCTTCTCTTTTTATTGAATCAGGAAAGATCAATACAGGAAAAACCCAGTGCAATTACTATTTCTTGTATACCACTCTGAAGAATTCTCAGGATTACAGGCCTGGGATTTTCAGTTCAACAGAGGTTTTACATCATCAGCCCTTTCCATAATGATCTGATGACACAAAAGTATCAAGGCAGCATATCTCACTTGTGTTTATTTTGCAATGCTCTTCTATCAATCTCACAATCTATCTTTAGGTAGGGGGTTACACACACCTTTTTTCTCTAAAGGTCAAGGGTAGTACAATAAACTGGGCTAGTGAGGCGTGGGCATGGACTTCAGTCTTCTCCAAACATCTGGAGATGCTCCTGTCTTTTAGTACTATGCAAAGTTTCTGAAGCACAGAGTCCAGCTGCATTACTGAGCCTCAGCTACACCTAACAGCAGAAGGAACCCAGGATTCTCTCTTAACCTGAAGAAGAGTACGGTGGTACTCTGACAGGAGAAAGTAATAAAGTATTTTTAAAATACAGATTATTAGTCTTTTTGACTGTTTGGAATATTTTGCCAACTTGCATGAAGCCACACGATCAGGCTCCTGGTCTAGCTGTATGGGTTGGAAATGTCACCAAGGCCAGCTCCTCATTGCCCTTCAGGTGCAGGTTATCGCCAAGCACTGCCAGACGATGAGGCTGTATGGCAGCTCCAGGAAAATTCACCCAGATTTGGTTCCTTGATGTGTTAAACTAATTGACTGAGCTAACTCTGATGCGTTAGACTTTATGTAGAGTGGCCTATGTCCAGATGACCACATCTGCTGGTAGTGATGTGTCATTAGTGAAAAACCTACAGCAAAAAGGTCCTGACAATATCTGGGGGATGTATTCTTTTTTTTTTCTGCTGGAATATTGTTAAGTGATGTCTTTATTTCAGTTGACTTTATGAAAACATTTTAAACTAGTCTGAAAACAAGTGGAACAAATGCTCTCTTTCACAATTTACAGTTCATGTTTATCATCAAAGCATTCTGTTTTAGGAGAAAGCTGTTCCAACAGTCTAAACCTGACTCGAGTAGCTTATAACAGATTTGGCTGGGGGCCATGACCTTACATAAAAGATAAAACTAAATTTGAGACTGGCATCAAAATCAGACAAGAACTACCTCAGCACATACTGAACAAACAGATGCGAGATCCTGCTGAGCTGACGTTTCCCATATTTCTTTTACAACACAGCCTCCACCACACCACATTCTATTTACTTTAACTTACAGATAACACATGTAAGGTTTCTGGTAAAAATCTTTATTCATGGAGGGCTGACCCATCTTTATTCATGGAGGGTTGACCCAAAACACTAATGACCTGTTTAGAACTGACTGCTCCGCATTACTGCTTGAACTTGGAAATGATTGCATGTATTAAACATCAGAAAGCATAAAAATCACCATCAGAAATACGTAGGTGATCTGCATAATGCTACCAATCTCCACATCAGTCTCAGTTTCAGCTGTGCAGCAGAAAACCCTGGATCAACTAGTGATAGATACCAAGTCCTTATTAGCATTAACTTTTCCAAAAAGTAAATGCTTTAACCCCACTACATAATTAATCACCGAGACTTTCACCTTGTTCCTAAGGAACAAGATCTCAAAATTATTTCAGAACTACCTAGCATTTTAAATTACCATCTTTTCTGCTCAGAGGCATTTATGCTGTAGATAGATGTTGTGTCTCATCATGAAAAAGAAGGTAAGCATGGTTAAATACATTTCAAGGTTGTCACGATAAAAGAGTCACAGGACTGCTACCTGATGCAGAGAATTATACCAATTTCAAAATGTGTTTGTTAATTCAGGAAAAAAGTGATAGTACAACGTTAGAATTTTTGGAGTGACCTGTACCCTCAAGTTTGAAGACTCCAAATAAATAACAAATATCATATCATTATTTTCCTCAGAAATGCTCAAGGAAAAAAAAAAACAAACCAGTATCAGCACAAAGGGCAAACCAATTTAGTTAGTGAATAAGATACTTAATGGTGTTATTTGCTCTGAAAAAACAAATACCTGTCTTATGATCAACAAAATCTCTTTTGTTACGTATTTATTCCCTAGAACTGTCAGTTAATGTGCAAATAATAGGATAACTAAGACCACAGTAAAAATAAAACACAACAGAGTGCCATGCGTTTATGTCTCTTCTTATAGTCAGGATGAGCAAGTATAACAACTTTAAATACCATAGAAAATCTAGTTATAAAAGCAAAGGCTACATTAACAAAGTAGGCATATAGCTCTTACTCATCCCTTCCCTGTGAAACACTGGAATTTTTAGTGCCAGCCTTTATTTGTAGAGATCTTAAATTAAAAACTTTGCTGACATATTCACTTATAGTTTCTTTTAATTTGCAGCCTTGGGCTAAGAATTGGTATATTCACCTGATTTTATGTAATTGAGCTACAACATGGTATGGAAGATAATACTCTGAATTGGAAGTTATTCCCTTACAGATCAGATGCACTAATAAACCACACAAGACTCAGTCTACAAATACGAAATAATATGGGTTGCAGTTAAGCAGCCAGGAAGCTGCTTTTTAGACAAGTCTAGTTTACTTAACATTTCCATGGACTAAGAACTTGAATGCAGTAGGTAACCAGATGCTAACTGAAGGATGGTAACCTCTTAAGTCCTAATTCCACTGTTTAAGGAGTTATCCTGCTGACTGAGTGCAACAAAGTCTCTCAAAATAGAAGGTAAAAAAATTGAAAAAAGTAAACCGAAGGAAAAAAAGACCGTAGACAGAAAAGGATAAAAGGAAATGGGTGAATCATCTGAGACAGCAGAGACACACTGTGCATGACACCACCACAGTTCATACTGCAGCAGGTTTTGTCACTGGAACTAACCTACCACATCCTTTCCATGAGATAAAGCTAGCATCAGGAGTTCTCCTGCTTCCTAACAACACAAACACAATACCTCTGCTGTAGAAAGAACTTCTTGCAGCAAGATATATATCTTTTGCACACTAAACATGTAACAACACAGTGAGTTTTGCTGGCAGGTTATCTTTGCTAGGGATGAGTCAGGATTTCAACCAGCCTGATAATGCCACGAAAACTTTGTAGCCTAATTCTAGTCAACAGGTGTAATTCTCATCAAAAACATTAAAAGACTGCAGAGCTAACTCTTGGATCACAGTAGTTCAATAGTATACTTAAAACCCATGAATAGACAGACAACCAAAGAGCAATCCTCTAACCATGAGCTCAGGAAGCATAAAGTGGTATGACATTGAAGGATTGTATGACTGTGTAATGGAAAAATTTCAAGAAAACTTCTGGAAGCTGTAATTTGCAAAAAGGTAACACGATGATATTTATGATACTTAATTCTCAACTTAACATGTTACATTAACTGTATATTCCTTACTGGTGTGTTCAGGATTCACCTCAAACTGTAAACATGTTAAAAATAATAAATTCTTGACTTAGTAAATGTTTCCCATTTACTGTATCGTCTCTCTGTCTTTCGTTGGGTTCTCTCATGCTACTGCTCTCCCTAGGTGAACTCTCCTCTAGGACATCTTGGAATGTCCACATTTCTATATTTTCAGAAAGTGTTCAACAAAACCATCTTTAGCGGAACAAAGAGCACATTGTTCAGGCTGTCATTCAGGATACATTAATTGGAATTTCCTTTTTAGCATTTTTCCAAGCCATCAAGCAAATCTTCAGCCCTACCAACCAAGCAGAACAAACCCATCCAAGCCATAGTAAAATTAGTGGCCTCTTACTTCAAAGATTCAAAAGTTATTGCTTTATACATATCTATCTGTAACATTTTGCAATCTGAACAGCAAGGCAAGGAATCCTCATAGGAACAAAACAGAGTAACTGAATCTATCAATTGTGACAAATAATGATGTTTGACAAATCTTATCTCAGCACATCCTGGTAAAATGAAGTTACAGATTGCTCATATTTATTTCTAGTATGCTCACCATGGCAACCGAAATAATTGCATATTTAGGTTTACAAGATTTCCTGTGTTTTTTTCAGCTTGGATCTGTTTTCTTGTGAACACAGTTAAAAAAACCCATGTGCACATATCACTCAATTGAAAGAATGAAATTACAGTTTCATAGAACATACCTATGATGGCCAATATGTCTTGCTCTTTTAATGTGTCCAACTCCTTTACATCCTGCTGTGGGACACCCTCCATGCTCTAAAGCTTCCACCAATTCCAAGGGACCTGCATGTCAGGGAAAATTACATACGAGGTTAAAAAAAATATCTAATCTTTAGGAGTTACATAAACATGCAGGAATACAAGTGTTATCTTAGTAAACACGAAGAAGAAACTCGTAAACAAAACCAAATTTTAAAGTACTTCAAAAATACATTCTGCAAAGGCATGATGGAGATTCAAATAACCTAATCCACTGGAGAAATAATTTTCTTCTGTATGAATAAATCTCCACAGGACAGCTACATCTATAAAAAGAATACAAGTGTTGGAAGAACTGTATGGCTTCAAATTTCTCTCCTATTAACTACATGTAGCTGGAACATGGTTGTTTCGCAAGAGCACAGTTACCCTGCTGCTCCTGAAGACAGGGATCTGTTCATAATGGATAATAACCATCTACACTTCTAGCTCAAGTTTTTCAGTAAACAAGACATAAAAACAAAGGATGAAAATACTACCAAAAAGAACAAGCCACCAGGAGTTTTCTGACATTTTTTTACTTATCTGAATTAATGTGTCTGATTTTCATCAGCCTGTAACAATGATGCCTGCACAGACATTAAACCATGTAGCTGTCAAAACTAGCTTAGACACTAAAGTAAACACAGTATATAACCCATAGTTTCATAGCAAGAGACAGACTTATTCCAGTATAAGAAACTGGGAACATCTGCTGCACATATGCAAACATGCACAGTATTTCTAGTACTGGTTTTACTTGAAAAGTAAATGAACTTGTATCTCCCACTACAGATAACACTGACATAAAAAGATCTATTTAAATAAGTTTTCCTAGATGAAAGACAGATTCTTCCTCACGGATGGGTAATGAAGAACTGGAGAATTATTATGTATAATTAGGACAGTCCAAAAGCATTTTTAACAAATGTTCCACCTATACTAATATTACAACACTATGATTACACTCAAGTACGAATACTTCCATAGCCTTTAAAATGGTGTCATGGATGAGAGAACACAGAATTTTACCTTTTCTACCTTTATGCAAAATTGATGCCTACAGTGTAACAATTTAGGGGACTAAGAGGAAGAGTGAACTTCATAGGGACACTTTTGTAGAGGAAAGTCCTGCCTCACTGATGCTCTTGTTCTGTAAAAACTAGCTCCCTACAAATGTTCTCTCTTCACTTCAAAAAAAATCAGACTCTCTAAAAATGTAATTTAAGAGAGCTGCAACTGGCTATCCATATTGATGCAAGAAGTTCCTGCTTGCATCACTATTAAATTATATTAAAACCAGCACCAATATATGGCTCTTAATTCCCTGCTATCAGAAAGGTCATCATGATGACTTCACTATGTCTTAAGAGAAAACAGTATGAACACATAAATACTGGGAGCCTAATACCACTATGATGCCTGCTCTAGACTAATATTGTTAACACCATACAGTGTTCACCCAAAGCTTCTAGTGTTAAAGACAAGGATCTGGGTTCCATTATTAAAAGTGCCATCTTACTGACTGGGGAAGAAAATACTATATCTTGCAAAGTATTTTTTTGCCTTCTCCTGAAACCCTTTCACAAAACTTGAGATACACTTTAACTTACCTGGAAACAATATTAATATTTTTGTGTTATCCTATATTCTATACCGTATTCTACACTGGTAATATGAAGTCAAATTGTTGGAACAAGCTATTACTATTCAGTAATCATTCAATTTTAATAGTATTTGTGCCACTAATTTTCTTCTTCTGTTTAATGGATGGTCATTTTCCCTCCTGTCACATTGTCCATCTTTGGCTTTGTAGCTTAACTAGTATCAGAAAGTCACTTCCACCAGTTATATGAGATGAACACTGCCTCCTACGCCACCACTTAGAGAAGATGACATCCTGTACATGACAGGCACCTGTATTTTGTTTCTTTTAATGTCTCCAACAAAATGAACTTATGTATTTTATACTCCCATCTAGGCTAGCTTTTCCATTTTTTTTTTTTTCCAGTCTATGGCAATAGAAATGCCTTGACCTTATTCAGCTCTTTTGCCATATGATATGATTTTTGTATTTGTGTCAACAGGCTACTTTTTCCCACTGGACTGTTCCTTCATTCAGTACACAGCATGCACATCTCAGATTAAGAAGAAGATAAGCAGCATCCTATCTTCTCATTATTCACTTTGTGCTTTGGCACTTAGGGCACTCGATCCAGACTCAGCTTTGAAGGCAGAATGATTAACTTCCTAACAGGCAGCCATCACTGTACCACTGCAGTGCTCATAAAGCTAATGAATATACTCTGATCACACTCCCAATAGGAAACATTTCTTCCTGACATTTTAGAGACACTTGAATTGAGGTACAGAGATTTTCAGGTTAACACGTTCAGACAATCTGTGTGTACCTTACCCCAGTTATTTTAAATTTATTTCTTTCAGAGTACTTGGCATTGCTCAGTATTTATTTTTCAAGCACAGCTCTTTCTGATTTCAGGTACAGCTGTGAGTTACACTCAGCATTTGTGGTTCTTATGCATATAGAGGAACACTGTATTTCCATTACAGTACGGGTCAAAGCTATCTACTAAAAAGTGATTAATTACTGACTCTTGATTTTGCACTAAATGGCACATTTACATTGTTCTGCACATCCTACTTGCTACTCTTCCTTGGCCAGCACTGGCAGGGAAGAAGGTAGCATGGTACACGTGGCTTTTAACGTCATGACATTATAATGTGGTTTCTCTTACTAAGTGGGGGCTGAAGAGGGTGTCCAGTTTTTGTACACCAGCCTGCAGGATGGATATCAGGGCTATCTACATCAGTCCAGTAATCATAAATAGTATCCCAACCATCAAAATGGACCTAAAATAAAAAAAAAAAAAAGAGAAAAATGTATTTTAGATGAGAAAAATTCTCTATAAAATCAGTCTTTAAGTAATCTCTAAAAATGACATGTCCATTAGAGAAATCAGTTTAAGAGAACTATCGATGTTACACAGAAAATACACCTACATTAGGGTCTGAACCCAGACATTCTCTCACTGAAGTAAAGAGAGAGGGAGGGAGGTGTCATTGGGTTGTTTACTATGTCTTGCAACACCAGGCTCAAATCCCAGGAATAAAGCAGGTAAATTCAGTTCTCGCATTAATACTTATATTAAGCATGAATTTCTATATTTTTTCCTCCTCAAAAATCCCCCAGATCCAAATATTTTTTAAGCTTCTGCTGGATCAGGATTTAATAATAGCAGAGCAGTAAGCAAAGGCCTAAAAAAATGGCATTTATCCACAAAAACCAAACTGCCTCCCCCCAGCATACAAGAAAAATTTCACTAAAATCAGAATACACAGGATAAGGAGGTGGAACTGAAGACAAAAGATGTATGTGACTTCCCAGAAAACTACCAGTATGGGCTATACATGCATTTTTTTTCAGGTTAAAGACATATATCTTCAATCTTACTTGACCTCTGTACTACTATGCAGCTCAGATCTCACACATGCATATGTGGATGCATGCATACAGAGATACCACACAGAGCTCTTCCAACATATACTCCAGAGTCAAATTACCACCCTAGAAACTTTCAATCCTGTCATTTTCATAAATTTAGACTGGAGAAGGGATTTGGTTTGGTTTGGTTTTACGCATAACTAGCTTAAGAGTTTAGATAGGAAATGTGTAGGTATAGATATTAGTTCTGATGCCTCCCCACCAACAGTGAATTCAGTCTCAAAATGAAGTATCAGCTGCATTTCTGTCTGAAATACTGTGTATGCCTAATAAACCTGTATGAACCACAAACACAAATATCCTTCATATTCATCTAACTGGATATCTAGAATGTGCTAGCCCTTTGAATGGTTAAGGACTTCAGAGAGTAAATTGGTTTTGTAAAATAAAAGAAAAATAATTCAAGTTTACAACTTCTGAAAAACTGCAATTTTTCAAAAACACATTATTTGAGATTAATCCAATCTAAAGTCCATAATTAATGTAAAGCTCAGAACTGCAGAATCACTGACAAGTCACAAGAGATCAAGGTTCTTTTTTGTATCTCCCTTATATCTCTCTTCTCCCTCTGGAAGTTTACAGAGACAGATTCAATTAACCCAGACCAAATATTTCATGGGTCCTAATATAAATATCACAGCAACCATTTGACACTTGATATTAAATAATCACATTTCTTGGTAAAATAGACAACTGCTTTATATCAAGTATTCCCAATGCAATTTTTGAACATCTTCAACTCTGTTCTCTAATTACCTATGTCAGCAAATTTAACTAAGAGGATAACAGAACAACTCCTTCCAAAGGAATTAGATGCATATTAATCAGTGAAAACCTTAGCAGGACACAGCAAAGTGACTCATTTCATCCTGTGCTTAATTTTATAACTACAAGGTATGGGTTTTACAACATACTCATCAGTCATTCAAGCAGGATAGTACCATGAAACAGCAAAACTTACTTTTATTCTATAGTCATCAGTATCTACAATAGTTGCTACTCTGATAAATACTGGATTTCTCTTGTCAACCACTTCAAGTTTCATGTTTTTTTGAAAGCCATGAGAAGGTTTCTAGAAAAGAACAACAATATTATGTGAAACAGAAGAAAACTTCAAAAATGCATATATAAAATCCATAGCAAACCACCTGCCTTCATTTTCTCAAATCTGCCCTCCCTCTCCAACAAATCCAAGCATAAAAATATCATTCAAGCATAAAATGATCATTTCATCTAAAGAAATAAAGTAACTACTTTGGGATTCCAGGTTCTCCATTCAAGCTTTCCAACCAAGTAAGGATGGATCTTTATTTTAAACCAGTTGGTTTTGTTTCTCGAATTCTCTAGAAAATTTTTCCCATTTCAAAGCAATATTAAATGAAGTATTACATACCAGCAGCCTGAAATATCTATGTCTACTGCTTTAAGAATAAATACTCACTCAGAAGAAATCTCATCAAATACTTGTTTTGTAATACTAGTTTGGAAAAAAAAAAGGTATCTTTGTTAGGAGTATCGGATTTTATCTTTACCATCTACAGCTATGAAATCTAAAGCAAAAATTATTTCCATTTTAAAGGAACATACAAGACGTGTCATGTTTTTTATTTTAGGCTTCTAGGAAAATAATGTATCTGTCTCTCTAAGACTTTCCAGAATATCAGTGCTTTTTCATCAGCTGCAGCTTAAGAACTCCATTTTCTCCCATAATACTATATAAAATACTGTGACTGTCTCAGGAACACTTCACCCAAACTCCAGCACAATCAGCATTTTACTCCCATTAAATCTGCTTCCTCATTGTTTATCACAATTAGCGTGAATATGTTTACCATCATATTAGTACAGAAAGCAGGGAGGGGATTTTCCCTGGCTGTCAAATCAAAAGGCAGAGGACAGCTGACCCCCATGCAGTCAAGCTCTCCCTCCCCTCCATTCTCAAAGCCAAACGGCTTTGTCAGTGCTCCCTTTTGGGACCTACACTGTCCTCAGCTGCTCTCTGCTAGCTGGGTTTCTGGAACAGCGTTGACCTATTCCAGCTAGGGCTCTCCTTGTTTAATAGTGTCAGTGCCTGCATGTTCGTGGCATGTCTTTCTCAGTTTCCTGACACAGACACAGCTGACCAGATCCTGTGGGCCACTGGTGGGGCATTCCAACCATCAAGCCCTATGGGGTGGCTGTTCCCTGAATCCCAGCGGGAGAAAATAAAACATGGTAATGCTCAAAGAGAAAAAGAAAACTTCACTTATAGCTTGCTGTAGTCAAGGTCACAGCCCTCCACTGTTTTGCCAAGGACTAGACTTCTATGTAACTATATAACCAAATACCTGCCTAACCCTTGCTCTGAGTAATCTTGTTGAGGATGTAAAATTGAGATGTTATTACACTAGACACATTTTGGGGTGATAAACTGCAGGTCAGTTATAAACTCTGGTGATCTACTGACCCCAGGAACTGCTATAAGCACCACAGTTCTGCTTCTGTTAACCCGGCCCTTAGCAAAGTGTTATTCAGAATTTCTGACCCTATTCTGAAAAGCAGAGGCAAACCAGCGTCCTCCGAGACGAGGGGCTGGGAGCTACCTGCCACCTGATGCTGGCTCCCAACAGCAACTCTCTCTGCACTACTGGCCAGTCCACCTTCCTCACTGACATCTAAGAGCTCAAGAAAGATGGGTGTCACTGAAAGAAACTAGCAAACAAAAAGCTAAAAGAAAGAATGTTGCCCACAAAGACCTTAGTTAAGCTGAGCTACCTGTGGATGCTGCCCATGTGCCCTAGCCACAAACTCATAGGAGAAAAGTCTATTGAAGGATATTAAACACAAACTCTCTCTTGGCTACTGCCAAAGACTATGGACTAGATGGACAACCAGGCTCATCTCATTTAATTATTTTTACATTCTCACTGTATTTACTGAGCCACTTAAAATGTAGGGATGGAAATACAGATGTTCAAAATACGTTATGATGACTCAGTAGCTATCTCATTATTTCTAATAACAGCAGTAATTTCCCATAGCAAATTACATTCATTAGTAATATTTTGTAGCATTCAATCTCATTTATAACAATTAAGATAATAAAGTAATAGTGATTTATAATAATAATTATCTTATTTCTAACAGTGAACTGCAAATCTGCATAAAACTAAACCACCTCCTACACAACTAATTAATTGGATACATTTGGAAACATAGGAACACCATATATGAATTCTCTTCTTTAATTAATTCTATGCACTTAAAAGCATGAAAAAAATATAAGCACTTGCTTACCACTTTAAAAGCCCTTGCAGGTGCAGGTAATGAACTGGTTTCTTCCAAATACTTCTCCCAGGAAAAATGCTTAGCATGTGGATAATCTGGCACAGAAGAAATATGAGCAAAATTAAACACTGCAGTGCAAGAAACAAAACTGACGTCTAATTTACAGAATACATACCACTTTTATAGTACTGCTCTGATTTATGCTTGAGATTTATAAAATAATTACAAGAAAGGCTATTCTACATTGTCTCTGACACATTCACCATGTAGCTTAAAAAAAAAAACAAAACAAACTTCCCATACACAATACTGACTAGCTAGCAGAAAACATCAGAGTTGCTTTGGATATGAGAATATAACTAATGTGGACTGGAAAAATCTGCTCACTTAATTCAATAAGTTAATTCAAGTATTATAAGACTAATTCCGTATGTTATTAACAGTAATTTACCAGTAAATACAATCTAATCAGTGATAGCTTTGTACCACAGTAGAGCATACTTTGTTCTTTTACTGAATTTAACTACATTTCTCAAAAAGCAGCCTGGACATTTACTGTAAGAATAATTTACAGACATCAAAGGTGATGTTGCCTTTCTGAGAAAGGTTACAAACACTTTATGCAAAACACATGAAGACAGTTTCGCTCTTAAAGAAAAGTCAGTGCCTGTCCTTTTTCTTTAATCCGTACTAGAAGTTTACGTTTAAGTTTAAACATTATGATTCATCATTTAGAACAAAATGCAACCAATTTTAATTTGTTTTAAAAGGTATTTCATTGAATAATAGGGTGTAATTAACCTCCTGACAGATATATTGCTTACAACTTTTCAAGACTACTGGCTCTTAGAATTTCTGCTAAAGTTGGTCTGGACCAATTAAAATTTTCCATGGTCTCAGACCACAGATGGTCGTTTCTGCAGCAAGGCATTTAGGTCATCCAGCTATATGCAACAGTTCTGAAAAACAGTGGTTGTCTTATATTTCTTACTGATGAATACACTTTTATTCTCCTGTATCCTCTCTCTCATTGTTTCTTCCTCTCTTTCAAAGAGCCCTTACAAGTCTGATTGTTTGATCACGTAAGGCAATCTGCTCATCAGCCCATTACCCTGCATATTTAGTTCACATGAACATGGTTTTCTTATGCACTGGAATCTCACACACCTGGAATTTATCAGCATTTTCACAACATGAGTGTTAGAATAATTGGATACATTGAGACAAAAATACAAACTTGTTCAGATTCCAAGGGGTATCTTTCATGCATAGATGCCTCTCTGCTAAATCAACATATATGTGCACACTTAACAGCTGAAGTCTATTGTACTTCCACTTTCAATATATTATGCCCTGTTAAAAAATTTAGAACTCTCCAAATACTAACTCTTAATTAGAGAAAGTAAAATTCTGGAGAGGTAACAATAAGCTTATTGTTAAGTTTTAATGCCATTAGTTGACTATAACTTCCTTATATCTTTCAAATGTGTAGTGAGAGACAAACCTGGTGGGGTAATGAGAGTTCTTTTATGTTCTTTACACCATCCAACAGGATGAATATGTGGGCTAGCTGCCTCACACCTAGAGGAGGGGGAGAAAAAAGGTGATTGATAATGCAGTTCTTCAGACATCAAGACATATAAATGAGATCCAGCAAATTCCAAATAACCTATGACATTTTCACATTACACTTAAACTGCAAACATAACCTGAAGATATGAATGCATTTAACACAAACTTGTTACCACCTAAAGAAATGCAAGGCTTTATTTACAATATCACTGGAAGATCAAAAAATCCAAGTCCTTTAAGTCAGTGGTAGACAGCCACTTAGAAGCTATAATGCTGGACCTGAAAAATTCACATAGAGACTCTTGGTAGAAACACATTGGCTGGTTGCAAGAACACAGTAATCCCAAAGACAGATGGAGTTTTGCAACGCCAAGACCAAAACTTTAATCCAAAAGCTTACAGACAACTCTGATTTATGATCCAAGCTGCATCTGGAGGCCCATTAGAAAATCATGCATAACTGCAATGCACTGTCAATAACAGGTAAAAATTCAAAACCAAATTCTGAGTGGTTTTAATGGAGCTATGAACATGTTATTATAACACAGCAGCACATACACAACGTAAGTCTAAGAAAAACTGTCAGAAAAAAAAGAGAAGAAAATAGTATTTTAGGCTCCAAACTGTCTGAAAGAATCCAGAACTAATCAGTGATCCAAGAATGCAAATTTCTCTATAAAAACTGATCAACCTTTCATACTCAAGGAACTAACAACTTCTCTTATTTTCTGTAATGTGCCAATTTTTGCAATAGTGCTGTTGCCTGTGGCATGCCACAAGAACCACAGAAGACTAACAAGCCAGGGTGCGCTACACTTTGCATGTGCTGGCATCTGAAGCCAGGAGAGATCATTCTCACTGTGCTCACTGGTTCAGCTACCCTGTGCTTAGAAGAAAGTGGCAGTGGGTGCTGGCTATCAAGTTCTGTTAGGAATACAAAAAAATGACACACTGCAAAAACGTAAATGATATAATAGCAGGTGACAAAAAATGTTTAATCATTCAGTATTATTAAGTTATACATAGAACCATATAATTTTATTAGATATTGTTATATTATTTCCTAACAACACATTATGTACAATAAACCACATAACATATATAATATATAATGTAGGTACTAGAATTATTATATTATTACTCCACATTTTTAGGAAAGGCAAAAAGTAAGTCTGATCTACAGGAAAAGTAAAAAGCCATCAGAGTGCTGTGAAACATGCACTATCCCTATGTCTGCATCGATACTTTATGACTGTTTTTGAGTTAGCTGAATAATTAACAGTGCTCTTTAAAGAAGCTGATAGTACTTATACAGTTAGGGTGACTAAGGAACAACATGCTGATACAAAAAGCCAGCACTACCCTGCACAAAACTGCACAATGTTGTGTGAACATACTGCTTGTCTCTATTTAGCTGCAAACTCATATGTAATCCCCATGCAGATTTCTCCTTAGGGACTTCACTTCTCTTTGGAGCCTGTCCCACCTGATTTCCTCTTTAGAAATTCAGTATTACAGTGATATCTCTCTCTTCCACTATTTCCTAACTCTAAAGATGCTTCAGTAACTGGCATTAAACATTCCCAGCTGTGCTGCTCTCTCTCTTCTGGAGAATCCCATCAGTTTTTCCATGTCTCCAGTGGCTCACTCACTCCAGCGACCTACTGAGGCAAATAAACTGCAGCCTGAGTAAGTTCAAGTAGCTAAAATCTTCATTCCCGTTTCCCAGAGAGGGATCAAGAAACCAAGCTTAAGTAGCCAAGCATTAGTTTAGATAGAAACACCACCCATCCCTCCT